ATGGGGTCGGAGGATCGCGCCGCATCGCCGATGTACTAACGATGCGGCTCGATGCGAGTCCGTGATTCCCCGCGCCAGCGCCGCCGATGCATCGCCGACGTCGCCTATGCATCGCCGATGCATATGCAATGCATATTGGCGACGCGGCGCTGTCCTTCGACCCCATCTATTCGATCGGACTCCATCTAGGAGGCTTCCAAATAGAGCGGAGAACTGCCTTGCCGTATTCGTGGGGCGTGCGGTTGTTGGATGACGCTGCCCTTTTCTTGGTCCCCGGCGCCACCCAGTGGTCCCCAGTGCCCCCCAGTGGGACCTCTGCCCAGTGCCTCCTCCGCGCCCAGTGCCCCCTCCGCCCCGACGATTTTATTTTTCGCGACGCACCCCTCCCCCCCCAGACCTCCCCACCGCCCCCCAGTGGTCCCCAGCGCCCCCCAGTGGGGCCTCCCCAGCCGCGCCCAGTGCCCCCCCTCCGCCCCGACGATGTTATTTTTCGCGACGCACCCCTCCTCCCCCCAGTGCGATCTCCCAAGCCCCCCGGTGGTCACCAGCGCCCCCGAGTGGGGCCTCCCCAGCCGCGCCCAGTGCCCCCTCCGCCCCCGACGATTTTATTTTTCGCGACGCACCCCTCCTCCCCCCAGGTGGGGACACTCCCCAGTGGTCCCGCAGCGCCCCCCCCCAGTGGGGCTCCCCAGCCGCGCCCAGCGCCCCCCTCCGCCCGACGATTTATTTTTCGCGACGCCCCCCTCCCCACCCCCAGTGGAACCTCCCCAGCGCCCCCCAGTGGCCCCCAGCGCCCCCCAGTGGGGCCTCCCCAGCCGCGCCCAACGCACCCCTCACTTCCCCCCCCTCCCCCCCCCCAGTGGGACCTCCCCGGCGCCCCCCAGTGGCCCCCAGCGCACCCCAGTGGGGCCTCCCCAGCCACGAGCCAGTGGCCCCCCCCTCCGCCCCGATGTTTAATTTTCGCGGGGCACCCCTCACACCACCCAGTGGGACCTCGGCCTCCCAGTGGGACGCTCCCCAGCGCCCCCAGGGGGTATTCCAAGCGCCCCCAGTCGTACCCCCCAGCCGCGCCAAGTGCCCCTGCCGCCCCGACGATTTTATTTTTCGCGACGCACCCCCCCCACCCCCAGTGGGGCCTCCCCAGCGCCCCCCAGTGGTCCCCAGCGCCCCCCAGCGCGGCCTCCCCAGCCGCGCCCAGTGCCCCTCCGCCCCGACGATGTTATTTTTCGCGACGCACACACCCCCCTTCCCCTGCCCCCCAGTGGGACCTCCCCAGCGCCCCCCAGTGGTCCCCAGCGCACCCCAGTGGGGCCTCCCCAGCCGCGCCCAGTGCCCCCTCCGCCCCGACGATTTAATTTTTCGCGACGCAACCCACTTTCCCCCCCCCAGTGGGACCTCCCCAGCGCCACCCAGTGGTCCCCAGCGCCCCCCAGTGGGGCCTCCCCAGCCGCGCCCAGTGCCCCCTCTGCCCCGACGATGTTATTCTCTTGCACAGTTGTGTTCTAGAGCTCGGACCTCTGTATTTTTGTCGTCGTTCGTTCGTTCGTCATTCGTCCTCCCCCCCCACCCCCCGGCCACAGAAGGAAATTCCTGGAGGAAGGAGGCGAATGCCTCCTGCCCCTCTCAGATCCTTGGTGCAAGAGCCAGGACACGCGTGCCACTTGTTCATATTATCACTACGTTTTTATTATTCGTGTTAGATTCCTGATTGTGCTTACTATCCGTCATAGTATGATTCGTATGCTTCTCTTATTATTCATAGTCATCACAGTTTTTACTATGTATACGGTTCGATGCTTTATGCTGCTGTTCCTTATCATTATTATTCTGAATCGTTTTAGTGGTATTAGTATTCGTATGAGTATTATTATTATTCCTCCTCTTCCTCCTTCTCCTCATCCACCTCGTACTCCTCCCTTTTCGACTCCGATCGTGCGCGGGGGACGTGGACCGATCAGATATACTGTTCCCAGCCATACTGCGGTGGTGCGTCTTCGTTTTGAAGAGACGACCCCCACGTGCCTCCTCCTTATCCCTCCTCCCTCCTCCTCCTCCCTCCTCCCTGCGTTTCACCCTCCCAATGCATCGCTTCGTGGCCCCATAAGGGACTCCACCGAAGCCCCCAGCGTTACCGTTCACCCACCCAGTACACCGTTTCTTGGCCCCACAGGGAGCTTCACCGAACCCCCCAGTGGGACCGTCCGCATGCGTCCCGAAAACCCAAGTTTGGCATGTTCACCCACCCAGTACAGCGCTTCTTGGCCCCATTAGGGAGCTCCACCGAAAGCCCCAATGCCATCGTCCGCATGCGTCCCGAAAACCAAAGTTGGGAGTTTCACCCACCCAGTGCAGCGCTTCATGGCCCCATAGGGAGCTCCACCGAAGGCCCCAGTGCCACCGCCCGCATGCGTCCCGAAAACCCAATTTAGCATGCCCACACGCCCAGTACAACGCTTCGTGGCCCCATAGGGAGCTTCACCGAAAGGCCCCAGTGCCACCGTCCGCATGCGATCCGAAAACCCAATTTGGCATGTTCACCCACCCATAGGGCGCTCCACCGACGCCCCCCATGGGGACCGTCCGCATGCGTCTCGAAAAACCCAATCCCACCAGCCCTCTGGGCGTCGGTGGTTTAAGGCGTTTCCACTTCCACCCCTCCCTCTTCCCCTTCGGGGAGGGGTTAACCCCTCCCCCTACCCCCTCCCCACTGACCTGGACAGGAGGGGCGGGGAGCGGTCAGAGCGTCCAAAACAGCCTCGGCGAGGAAGCCAAAATCATTGATTTTAGCAGGGTGTTGGCCCCATTTTGGCCTCCTGGGGGGGCAGCGCTAATTGAAGCTCAGCTCGTCTTTGATAGATCTCCTCCAAGATGGCCCAAAGAAGCGCCCAGGAGGCCCCAAGAGTAGGTCCCAAGATGGCCCCAAGATGGCCCCAAGAGGCCCCCAAGAGGCCCCCAGAAGGCCCCCAAGAAGACCCTCAGAGGCCCCAAGAGGCCCCCCCACCCGAGGCACCCAAGACCCCGAAGAGCCCCCCAGGATCGCCAAGAGACCCCCAAGACGTCCCAAGATGCCCCCAAGAATCGCCCAAGAGATACTCCAAGAGGCTCCTAGAGGCATCCAAGAGACCTCTGGCCCTTGTGCTTGCCCTCCTCCTCCTCCTCCTCCTCCTCCTCCTGTTCCTCCTTCCTGCTCCTACTCCTTCTCTTCCTCCTCCTCCTCCTCCTCCTCCGCCTCCTCCTCATCCTATTCATTCTCCGTCTTCCCACTCCCTCATCCATCCATCCATCCAACTCCTCCTTCTCCTCCTCACTCCTTTGCACGGTTCGGCCGTCCTCCTCGTTGCTGCCGCACTTCCCTGATCACCTCAACTCGCCTGGACATCGTTTCGGGATGGGCTGGTGGGGATAAGCGAAGCGTCTAGAATTTGGCATTTTCACCCATCCAATACAGCGCTCCGTGGCTCCATAGGGAGCTCCACCGAAGGCCCCAGTGCCACCGTCCGCATGCGTCCTGGAAGCCAACTTTGGGGTTTTCACCAACCCAGTACAACGCTTCGTGGCACCATAGGGAGCTCCACCGAAACCCCCAGTGGGACCGCCCGCATGCGTCCCACATACCAAAGTCTTGAAGCTCTGCGGACTTGACCATCCTGGTTCACGTCCTTACTGTGTGGGTCGTGCCATGGCAAGCACAGAATTGCCCCCACTTAGATTGACGGACTTGGTTATCCTGGTTCACGTCTCATAGTGTGGCAGGCACCGAATTCCAAGACATGTTGTCTGTGCACGTGCTCGAGCTCTCAGGGTGCCCCTGCCGTCAGCTCCCCTTCAGCTTCGCGGCTGCTTTGTGAGCGGGCCGGCCGGCCTGTGCCTGCTGTAGCTAATTAGCCTCGTTCGTGGCCCGGACGTTGCCTTTGCCGCCTGACCCTTGTCTCGCGGCCGCGACCAAAATTACGCTACCGAGAACCCCCACATACTGATTTTATGTCTTGTGTGAACCGCGCTACCACTACCACCGCCGTCATGCTCTCAGGTGCCCCCTGTGGTCGTTGAAAGGAGGGGGAGGACGTGTGGGGGGAGAGGAGGGGTTGAGGAGTCATCTGTGACGGTCATATCCGGCGTCGCCTGGCACTTGGATACGAGAGGTAATACGCAATCCCGCACTAGAGGCTATGCCTGGACGACCCTGGCACGCATAGGGAGACCACCCCCTGCGCACCCCCTCTGGTGTCGAAAAAATGCCACGCCTGCTATGCCTGCCACATCGGCGAGGCATCGGCGATGCATCGGCGACGTGGGCGATGCAGCGGCGACGTCGACGCGAGGCAAATCGAGCTCCACACCAAGCCGCGTCGGCGATGCATCGGCGATGCGGCGCGATCCTCCGACCCCACCTGCCCCGACCTCACCTGAGAGGCCTGGACTCACGACCCAAGCGTCCTGCCGCTCCAATGTTTGGGATGCGCGAGCCCCAGAGGACTGGGCCACTTCACCGGGCACGGTGCTTCCTCCCGAGCCGTTTTTTCCTGACGGCCCCGCGAGGCCGACCGCGGCCCCCCGGAGCCGCTGCCCCAGCCCTTGTTGGGGAGGCCGGACCTCTGGGGAGGAGCGCGGGCCCTGGACCGACGGCGAGGAGATCCTGGATGTTGCGCGTGGGGCCGCGAGGGGGCCAGGGATCGAGAGCGTTCGGCGTGGGCGTCGTCGCCGCCGCTGCCGCCGACGTCATCGTCGTCTTCGTCTTCGTCGTCGTCGACTCTGTCGTCGCTGCTTTCGCCGCGAGGGGAAGGGGGGGCGGAGGAGGAGGAGGAGGAAGTGGACAAGGAGGAGGCGGAGGAGGAGGAGGGGGAAGGGGATGTGGGGGAGGGAGAGAGGAGAGGAAAGGAGGAGGAGGAGGAGGAGGAGGAGGGAGGAGGAGGAGGAGGAGGAGGAGTAGGCTGAGGGGCCGCGAGAGGGCCGGAGGAGTAGGCCGGAGGCACCGCAGGCGGGGCCGCCGAGGCGCCCGCTGGATCAGCGGGGCGCGCCCCGCGAGCGTGGGCAGCGACTGGGAGCGGGGCGGGCCCTGGGTCCTGCCGGGCGCCGCGCCCCGCGCGGCGCCGCTCGTCTGCCAGACAAGCTCGACCGCCTCCTCCTGCGCCTACACCCCCGCCTCCTCCACCTCCGCCTTCCTCCGCCTCGTCCTCCTCCCTCCTCCTCCCCTCATCCTCCTCCGCCCTCCTCCCCTCCTCCTCCTCCTCCTCCGCCGCCTCCTCCCGCCTCCTCCACCTCCGCCTCTCCGCCTCGTCCTCCTCCTCTCCCTCTCCTCCTCCTCCTCCTCCTCCTCCCCCCTCCTGCGCCTCCTCCCCCGCCGCCGCCGCCGCCGCCGCCGCCTTCCCTCCTCCTCCTCCTCCTATCCTCCTCTCCTCCTCCTCCTCCTCCTCCCTCCCTCCTCCTCACTCCTCCTCCGCCTCCTCCCCTCCGCCTCTCCGCCTCCGCTCACCTCCTGCCTCCTCCTCCTCCTCCTCCTCATCCTCTCCTCCTCCTCCTCCTCCTCCTCCTCTCCTCCTGCCTCCTCCTCCCCCTCCTCCTCCTCCTCCTCCCCCTTCTCCTGCGCCTCCTCCTCCTCCGCCGCCTTCCCCTCCTCCTCTTCATCCTCCTTCATTCCATTTTCCTGTGAAAAAACTCATCCCTGGCACACCCGAAGGCCAATCGGAAAGGCGGGCTGGGCGTTTCGCAGATGGAGTGCGGGTAGTTTTCAAAATGTGGCTCTCGCCCTGGCGCCGCACACATTCGTTCTAAACAGTTGCAAGAGCTTCGCGGAATGGGGGCGGGTGGTTTTCAAAATGTGGCCACCGCGAGCATTCGCTTTTCAGAAAGTGCAGCAATTTCACAGATGCAGTGCGAGTGGTTTTCAAGATGTGGCTCTCACCGTAGCGCCACACAGATTCGATCTAACACGTTGCACAAGCTTCACGGATTGAGGGCGGATAGTTTTCAAAATGTGGCTCTCGCCTTAGCGCGGCGCGCATGGGTCTCAAACATTAACCAACGTTTAACGGGTTTCGAGCGATTCCTGTTAAACATTTAGCTCTCGCCTTAGCGCCGCGCGCACTCGCCTTAAACATCTGCAATATTTCCAAGGGCTCACATGGTCATCGTACCAGAAATAACGTCCTGGAACGATTCAGGGTTGTCAGGGCGCAACAGTTACATTGATTCGCGCTGTTGAAGTCCCCGGAATGGTTGTGGGCAAGATGCAAGATCATCCAGACGCGACAGCCAGGTTAGTTCGTGGGGTTCACATCCAAATAATGATGCTTGGGCCAGCTTCAGGAGCTCAAACCGGTCCTCTCCCAGTGGAGCCCGTCCCTCAGTTGAAGTGAACCCTTGTAGGGGCCCATGGAGAGGAAGCGTGGAGGGAGGACTTATCCCAACATCGTTGATGGCTCTCCTGGGTTTGCACTGGTCCTCCTCCTCCTCCTCTCCTCCTCCTCCTCCTCCTCTCCTCCTCCTCCTCCAACCCCTCCTCCTCCAACTCCTCCTCCTCCAACTCCTCCTCCTCCGCCTCCTCCTCGTCCTCCTCCTCCTCCTCCTCCTCCTGCTCCTCCCCTCCCCCTCGAGAACAACGGGGAGGCGCAGCGAGGCGAGGAGAAGAGACGCGAACGGGCGTTACGCGAGGAGGGACGCAGGGGGAGACGGGGCGCGACGGGGCGCGGGAAGGGGACTGGACAGGGACGAAATCCGAGACGTGCTCGCGTCGTGAAAAATCGGGGAGGGGGGGGGCGTGTTCAGCCTCTGGGGGCCGCCACTGGGCTCAGGGACGGGCAAATCAGAAGACAGCTCGCCGCTTGCGCCCCACCGCCAGCCCAAACGGCGAGCAGACGTCGGGCGTAGCCCCGCACGTATTTGGATGCCCACGCTTCGTCCTCGTACTACTCGCGGGCCCCCAGCACGGTGAGTGCGTCGACGGCGTCCTGGTCGTACCAGAGGCACACATAGGTTGCGCCCTCGGCCGCCGTGAATAAAACCGCCTCCGATCGGTTGCGCCATCAATTGCGCCCTCAGCCGCCGAGAATAAAACCGTTTCCTATCGGTTGCGCCATGGGTTGCGCCCTCGGCCGCCAAGAATAAAAAGGTCTGGTACCCGTTGCGCCATGGGTTGAGCCCTCTGTGGCCGATCATGAAACCGTCTCCTACCGGTTGCGCCGTCGGTTGTCCCCTCGGCGGCCGAGAATCTAACCGTCTCATATCGGTTGGGACATAGGTTCAAGTCGGACCTGTCCCCCTACAGGGTGAGTTTCGACGATTTTGTTTATACTCCAAAATGGCCCAAAAATACTCAACAAATAATCCCACGACAATTTTTTACTATTGTTGAACTATGTTTGGCACTTCTTATTTTTCGTTCAAAAATTCCCTGTAGGGGGACAGGCCCGACTTAACCATAGGTTGCACCCTCCCCGGCCGAGAGTAAAACCGTTTCCTACCGGTTGCGCCACAGGTTGCGCCCTCGGCCGCCGAGAATAAAACCGTCTCCTATCGTTTGCGCCATAGGTTGCGCCCTCGGCCGCCGATAATAAAACCGATTCCGAGAATAAAACCGTCGCGTAACGAGTGCGACCAGTCAGTTCAGTTCAATTTATTTCAGTTCAGTTCATTTCACTTCAGTCCAGTTTACCTCGCGAGAAAAAAAATCTGGCTACGCCCGAAAAATCGACTGAGGATGAAAAGCTGGCCCTGGAGGAAGACTTGGGAATCCTGGGGAGCCCGCACTGAAAGAGGGCGCCTGGACAGGAGCGGTCAGCATCGAATCGGGAAATCGGATCGGATCAGAACTTCGGAACCTGCGTCGGATTGGGTCGCATCGGCGCGAGGCCTAAGTCAAATCGGATCGGCTGCGCCAGGATGCACAATGAAGCCATGCGAACATCAGGTCGCATCAGATCGTCGGGCCATCGGAATCGGACTGCATCGGGCCTGCAGGAATCGATACCGAATCAGATCGGTCGGGTCAAAAAGGGGTGGGCCTTCTCAGAAGGCTCGGGAGTTCCCCAGCCTACTGAAGTTTTCTTCCTAGTCGTTCCCCGAAGACGCAGAGAACTCCTCGGAAGGCGCGAAGGCCTCTGAGAGGCTCCGCCGCCTTCTGAGATGGCCATCTCCTACTCACTTCCCCCCCTCTCGCTCGCCGCCTATCCTGCACCTCCTCCTCCGCCTCCTCTAGAGAGCAGAAAATCCACCCCCATAATAAGCACCCCGACTGGCGAAACCGCTTAGTACACGCACCCATGGAAGGAATCGAACAGGACAAGGCTGTTCAGTAAACGCCCAGGGCTGTTTAGTAAACGCGAACTGTCGGGGTCGTGGTGGTTTTCCACCCTTGATTCTCCTCCTCCGCCTCCTCCTCCACCGCGCCTCGCTTCCCGCGCCTCGCCCCTCCAATCCTTGAGCAGGGACCGACCGTCCTGGCATTCCTATAGCCCTACCACGAAATATTCTTAGAACCCACAAATGTTGAAGAACAAAATCAATGTTCTTAGAACATTCACCCGATGTGAAAAAAAACAAGACCGACTCAACCAGAAATGTTCTGACAACACTTCGTGCACACCACAAGAGGTTCTTAGAACACTGTTTGGTGGGGCTATAGGCGAGCCGGGCGGTAATGGGCTAGATTGAGCCCTATGAGCGCCGCCCTGCTGGGCCGAGTCGTTAGTCACGAGACTGGTCTGCCTCGGCGTGCTTCTTCTTCTTCTTCTTCCTCCTCCTCCTCCTCCTCCTCCTCCTCCTCCCCTCCTCCTCCCCCTCCTCCTCCTCCTCCTCCTCCTCCTCCTCCTCGTCCTCCTCCACCGCGCCTCGCTTCCCGCGCCCCGCCCTTCCCATCCCAATGACCCGCTCGCTGCTCCCCCGCTCCTGCCCCGCTGCTCCCCTGCTCGGCGCACACCGCCGCCCCCCAGGTGCCCGAGGCCGCCCACGCGCGCTCCTCGCCGGTCGACACTCGGCGCTCGGGCCCCCTTCTCCCCTTCCCTCCTCCCCTTCCCTCCTCCCTTCCCTCCTCCCCTCCTCCCCTCCCCTCCTCCCTCCCTCCTCTCCTCCCCTCCTGTCCTCCCCTCCTCCCCTCTCCTCCCTCCTCCCTCCTCCTCCTCCTCCTCTCCCTCCTCCCTCCCCTCCCCTCTCTCCTCTCCTCCCTCCTCCCTCCCCTTCCCATCCCTCCCTCGTCCGCGGCGCCGGTCCCTGCTACTTCCCCTCCGCCCCGCGCGCCCCGCGCGCCCTGCGCGCCCCCCTGGCCCTCGAGCCCGCGCCCGCTGGCGCTGCCGCTGAGCAGGCTGCGGGCCTCTGTTGAGCAGGGATCGTTCGTCCCGGCATTCCTATAGTCCTACCACGAAATGTCCTAAACAAGACAGCCTCAACCAGAAATGTTCTAAGAACATATCGTGCATACCACAAAAGGTTATTAGAACATGGTTTGGTAAGGCTATAGGCGAGCCATGACGCTTCGCCACTGCCTGACTCTGGGGACCGGCTCCTGGGCACCGCGACTGAGCTTAGTGGGCCCCAGAAACGATGATGATTGATTGTTCAAAGATCGAGAGCGTCAGCTCATGGGTTTGCCATGATGAATCAAAAGTTTTCGGCCATAATTTTCAACAGCAGGCGTCCAAATGCTTGCCGCGAGATTTGAAGGCGCCCCGTGATACGTCAGACAGCCTCCTTGACGCTGGCGATGGCGATGGGGCAAGACTCGAGGTTTTTTTTTTGGGGGGGGGATTGAGCACGGATTCAGCGCTGGGTCCGAGACTTGCACCGATGGGGGAACTATACATCTGCGGCTTTCTGACCGGCTGGCTGGGGGTTCCCACCAGTGCGGGGCTTAGTGGGCCCCTGAAACGACAGGGCCGTTTCTCTACCGGTTCCGTATTGCCGTTTTGTTGCCGGTTCCGACGCCGTTGCTTTACCGGTTCCGTCGCCGTTGTTTGACCGGTTCCGGCTCTGGTTCTGGAGCCGATTTTGTTGCCATTTCCGGTCGCCGTTCTTGTTGCCGTTTCCATTTTCAAGGGACATTTTTCTGGAAACTGTGAAAAAACGGCCCTGC